GCTACAGCTCCCTCCCTGATTTCACAACTCAACTCTAAAGCTATGGCAATGAAGCCAGCGTGGTGCTGGTAAGAAATAGATCAATGCGATGGAATAGAACATCCAGAAATAGACGCTATAGATGTGGTTGACTGATTTTCACCACAAGCGCCACACAGCAAGTCGATGGGGAATGGAACATCTTTTCAGCCAATGGTGCCGAATCAGGTGGATGTGTGTAAGTGCTAGAATTAAGTTATGCTCATTCCTTTATCTGTTTAGTAGTATCTCAACTGAAGCACCTATTTTCATCTGCTTGTATTGATGGCTTGGGACTTATTCTCCTCTTCCTCCTCCTCCCCCCTCCCCTCCCTCTTTCCATTTCTGTCTCTGTATTTATCAATTGCCCATGAGTAAGTATATAAATTTTTCGTCCTAACTCTCAGTTGAATACTTTCTATTTGTTTTCTATTTTATTCTTTTCTCCTCTTTCCTTCCTTTGGGTTCAGTTTGTTGTGTGTGTGTTTTTTTCCTAACCTTTGAAGATAGTGCTTAGGTTTTATCTTTTCATGCTTCCTATGTTCCAATATGATATTTAAGGCCACAAATTTCCCATCAGCATAGATTTAGCTGCATCCTCCGAATTTTGATATGTATTTTTATTGTATTTACATTTTTATTCATTCAAACATTTCCAATTTCCATTTTGATTCTTTTGACGCATGTTTATTTTTTCTTTGGCAAGTTCCCAAAATGATTGTGGATTTATCTATTTGTGCTTGTAGTTCTATTTATGTTTTATGTACTTTGAGGCTGTATAAATTTAGAATTGTTAATTCTTGGTGGTGAACCAAGACCTACAAAACTTTCATTTGTTAAAATTTGCAAGGTACACATATATTTCTATCCTTCAACTTTCCTGCACCATTATGGTTTAGAAGTGTCTTTGGCAAATAGCATGTATTTGGGTATAAAGCTCAAATTTTTAATTTGGTCTGACAGTTTTTACGTTTTAAGTAATACATGTTTATTCTCTTTATATTTAACAACATTAACTTATATGCTGGGGTTTAAACCTACCATCTCTTTATTCGTCTTTCATATTTTTATTTTCAATCTCCTGTTGGCCTTTGTGTTCATTAAATATTATTTAAAATTCTGTTTCCCAGTTTTGGCAGTTCTATACCTTTTCCAGGATTCTTTTAATGGCTTAGTCCAAAGGTGACAACCTTCATCCTTAACTCACCAAGGGCTGGCGGTGATTGGTACTTTTACAATCTTTAACCCCCTTTTCTTTAAACAGAATTCCTCTTCTGTGTTGTATACCTGAATTTTCTTGTGTGCAGACTATGGAAATCTGTTTTGGTTCCTCATTCCTGTTGTTTGTCTTCCTATGTCCTTGGCAAACGCAGATGGTCATTTTGTGACTTGATATTAATCATGGGACTCGTGAGTGCCTACCCTTGGGGTGTTTTCTTCAGGAAATGGCTTGTGCCCATGTCTACTGGGTGCCAGCTCGTGATTTCAGCCTGTGTCCAGGGTCTCGGCTCAGCGTGGGAATCCTTGGTGCAGCCTAAAAACTCGCCGCTGCTCACGTCTCAGAGCTCTGGCTTCAGCCTCAAGTTCAAGGCGGTTCTGTGCCGCCCATACCTGCAGCTCCCAGGCAGTAGAGAGAACACATTCATGGGGAGGGGAGTCTTTGGGAAACATGGCCTTGTCTTTCTTAATTCACTAATGCGACAAGTGTGTGTGTGTTTTTTGAAAATCCTCGACTGAGGATATGTTTATTGATTTTAGAGAGAGAGGGAGGGAGAGAAAGAGGCAGACAGACAGAAAGACAGGCAGACAGACATCGATCTGTTGCCTCCCATATATGCCCCAACTGAGGATCGAACCTGAAACCTAGATATGTGCCCTGACTGGGAATCGAACCCGCAACCTTTTTGGAGTATGGGATGATGCTCCAACCAACTGAGCCACCTGGCTAAGGCCCAAGTGTGCTTTATTCAGGATCTATTTCTTTGGCTTGTAAAAGGGAACCTTAGTCCTCCTAGTATATTATTTGGAAAAAAGTAGTAGCATTGATGTATTGTATCTGCCTGATTTCAATGGGACAGGGATGTCAGACCATCGCTGAATCAGCCTTTTGCAACCTGGTTCCACAACAGAAGAAGAATGAGCTTTCACAATGTTATGCGATCGTCTCTCACTGTATAAATCAACGGAGGAGACAGTGATATGTACCATCATGAGCATATTTAAACTTGAGTTTGCAGAAGTAGAAAATATATATTGTATACTGACGCCTTTAGGCTTGATACGGTGAGGTATCACGTAGTCATTTCATTTGTCATTTTATAAATGAGTACTTCAATGAATGTTGCATTTTCCTCTTATTTTGACTTTTCTTCTGATTAAGAGGTCAGTTACTTTGAACTGAGTGACTATAGCGGTAACGTTCAAGCGTTTTGAAGATTTTCTTTTAGGTTGTCTTGCTCTGCATGCCGCGGTCCGTGACGCTTGGGACAATCATGTGACACTACATGTGCAGTCGCACAGTTGTCTAAAGCCACATGTCCGGATGTGCGCAGAACTCGGTTTGATACGTAGCGGAGAGTTTCCGTCTGGTTTAGACTTTGTTGTCAATGAATAGCATATATCAAAATGAAAGACTTGGCTGCACTTAATTTTTTTGCAAGTTAAAACTTTTATTTTGGGCCCTGGCTGGTGTGGCTCAGTGGTTTGAGCGCCGGCCTGCGAACCAAAGGGTCGCTGGTTCGATTCCCAGTCAGGACACGTGCCTGGATTGCAGGCCAGGTCCCCACTAGGGAGTGTGTGAGATGCAACCACGGATTGATGTTTCTCTCCCTCTCTTTCTCCCTTCCTTCCCCTCTCTTTAAAAATTAAATAAAAATAAAATCTTTAAAGATAAAGAAATAAACTTTTATTTCAGTAAAATTTGGGTTACACTAAATTAGTGATTCTTCATAGGGGTGATTTTGTGCCTCTGGTGACATTAGCACTGTCTGGGGACACTTTTGGCTGTGATGCTGCTGCCGGCACATCCCTTAGATGCTGCTCAACACCCACAATACACAGGACAGGCCCACATCGAAGAATGGCCAGGTGGCAGGGAGGTGCTACAGCTATCGCGGGACCAGCCGAAATGTATATAAATGTCTAACTGCTCTGCTGTGCACCTGAAACTCATGGACTGTTGAATGCCAACTATCACTGAAAAATAATAATACATTAAAACACATTTTAAATGACCCGATCCCTAATGTCAACAGTGCTGAGACTGAGGACCCCTGCTCTGAATAGATTCTCTAAGGACTTAGTTGATATCGTGACAGAATTGTGATCAAAGACCCACACTCGTTCTCCTTAGCTTTTCTTTCTTTCTTTATCTACTCATTTACTTTAATTGTATTCCCTCTGTTAGCATACTATTTTGCCCTGGCTGGTGTGGCTCAGTTGGTTGGAGTGTCGTTTCTTCTACCGGAAGGTTGTGGGTTCGATCCCCAGTCAGGGTGCATACAGGAGGCAACCAATCAATATTTCTCTCTCTTTCTCTTCCTGCCTTCTTCTCTCGCTAAAATCAATAAACATAAAAAAAAGAAATAAAAAGTACTATTTATTAAAGTATAGGTGATATACGAGATGACATCAGTTTCAGGTGTTCACCAGAGTGATTTGATATTTACATTCCTTACAGCGTGGCCACCACAATAAATCTGGTAGCCCTCTGTCCCCACACAAATTTATTAGGATATTGTTGACAGTTTTCCTCACGCTGTGCTCCATAGCTTGTCTTTTTCTTTTTTTCCCTTCCTTCCTTATTTTTATTTTTAAAGAGAGATGGAAAGGGAGGGAAAAAGTAAGAGAGAGATATCAATCAGTTACCTCTCCTATGCTCCCCAACCAGGGACCAAACCCACAACGTAGGCCTGTGCCCTGACTGGGAATCGAACCTGCAAACTTTGGATCTGCAGGACGACGCACAACCCACTGAGCCACACCAGCCAGGGCTGGGTTGCATAGCTTTTAAATGAAGGCCAACAAGCAGCTCTGCAGAAGATGGGGAAGCTTCAGGCTTCTATGTAAACATGGGCCCACTGACAGTTTTAGTTTTCACAGTCAAATTCAGCATGATGCTATTACCATACAGAGGCTACATTTGAGAGGTGCCGGGCAGCTGTCACCCCACTTCCGGTTCCTCCTGGAGCTCCCTGCCCAGCACCCATCGTGGGCAGCAGAGCTGCCCCCCACCCCGACCCCGACCCTGGGGCTGGGACGAGGCCACGGCCTGAGCAGCCGGCACCTGCGCCCCACCCCTGTCTGGACACAGTTTCCTGGATCTGTGCAGCATCTCGATTAAATAGACCCGTCCTTCCTTTCTTTGACACTTATATAAACACCGCCTCTTCTTTTTAGTCTTCCAAAACTCCATGATGCTTAACTTTGAAAAGAAGTGTGAGGTGCACCTTCTTTGAAAGATCTGCATGGAGCTATGAGAAGCAAGACAGCCTTCCTCTAAAACTTAAATTGAACGAGGACTTGAACATAAATCACTTTCTCCCCCCCCCAAGATTATTTATTTTTTAGAGAGAGGGGAAGTGGGGGAGAAAGAGAGGGAGAGAAACATCAATGTGTAAGAGATACCTAGATCAGTTGCCTCTCACGCACACCCAACTGGGGACCTGGCCCACAACCAAGGCAAGTACGCTGACTGGGAATCGAACCAACGACCCTTCGGTTTGCATGCCGGCACTCAATCCACTGAGACACACCAGCCAAGGCACAAATTACGCTCTTGGGCCTGCTTCCCGGTGACTCTTCAGGGAGCCTGTGTGGTAGTGAATGATTTCTAGACGCGTTTGGAAGGCTAGTCTTTCATAACAAAGAGAGCCTGGGCCTACCTTCTGTTCCCTTATTTTCATCTCAAAGATGTGGCTTTTTAAGGTTTGCGTGTGTTCTCAGCTTTAAACTGATTCTCCTCTTACATCCATTTCTTCTAGGCGCTGGCGCACCTGCACTTAATAGAATACGTCGGCGAGCAGACCACTCTGCTGATAAAGGTGCAGTTCCGGGTGGCGGTACAATGTGCTCCAAAGACTGTGCCTTTGATTTTGTTTTTTGTTTTTTTTTTAAAAAAAACCTGGCAAGAACAGGTCACATTAATTATGTAAAAAGCACTGTCGTGGGCCTGTCTTACCCTGGGTAGCCGGGAGATGAAGGGGTCTTTTATGTCTATTAAAAAATAGACATAATTACGGATGCCCGTAATTTTGCTATTAGCCTTTGGTTAAAACCCCAGACAGACGGACCGCAGTCTCGGTAAGTGACTGTGAGACGTCCCAGCGGCGGCGCTGCGCCTGGGCAGCAGGCGGTGAGACTGATGCGACCTGTGTGCTGCCACCAGGCCCAGGGCCACCTGCTCCCGGCGCGCGGCCGGCCACCTGGGACGCGCTCCCGTGTTACCTGTGGAGCCGGCCCGGCGCCTGGAGCAGCTGGGACAGCGCAGGCTGGTCCTGTGGGGACAGCGGGGCTCTCCCAGGCCTCCCCGTGTGTCCGACGCGCCGGGACACGGAGGCCGCATGTCCCGAGTGCCTGTGATTAACACGGCGTCTGCCCCTCCAGATGGTCCCAGAGGACCGGCGCCTCGCAGCCGCCATTGTCCTCGTGGTCTGGGTCTCGGCGCTCGCGTCTTCCCTGATGGACAACATCCCGTTCACGGCTACAATGGTGAGTCGCACGTCTGTCCCCCGATGGATGGGGGTGCGGGGGAGCCCAGCTCAGCCTGAGCCTAGTGTGGGCTCACCATTCCCGCCGGGGAGGCAGAGCCGGGCCGGGGCCCTGGCCGCGCCCGAAGGTCAGAGCGCGGACAGCGGGGGACCGCGGCCGAGGCGGGCAGCGCACCCTGGGTCCGCCCCACGGACCGCCGCCGCCGCTCAGGGAAAGGAAAGGCGGCCTTTTCATTTGGCTTTTGGAGAGCATGGGAAGGCGCCCGAGACAGAGGCTGGTTGATGGCGTTTGTTCCTCATTCCGCGTGAACGTGGAAGCGATACGCTCTGGCCGGCGTGGCCCCCGGTGCCGGCGGGGACGGGACTGTGGATTGTCCGTGTGCTCCGGACGGGGCTGATTTTGGGACGCACACGAGAGGCCTTCGCGGGACGGAGAGCGCCGTCCCGGCTGTGTCGTCCGACGTGGATCACTCGGCTGGCGTCAGCCCTGCGAGCCCTATGCTGCGATCCAGCATAAAGGCGGGATCAGGAACCCCGGGGGCCCGGGGTGCGCCACCCTCTACCGGGCACCGTGCAGGGGTTCCCACGGCTTCCCATCACCCCATGTCACAGGCAGAACCACCGGGGCCCAGAGGCACAGAGCAGACGCTGGCTGGCGCAGAGGTCAAGAGCGGGCCGGCCTCCGTGGCTCATCTTCTGTGTCCCAGGTGCTGGCTGGATGCGTCCCTTTGTTCTTGGTGTTGGGCTTCTTGGGTTCCTCAAGAGAGAGAAGAGGAGGAAACCCCATGGAAATGTCCGGACAGAGTTTGTCAAGCTTGTGTTTGAGCACCAGGCAGGTAGCGCGCGTGCGCAAGGAGGGGCGTTCGAACTGGCCTTGTGTGCCTACAGTCCCAGGCGCTGTGCGAGGCTCTAGGCGACTTGATCCCATCTAAGACCCACAGCAGCCGCCTGTGGGGACAGCGGGGGAGCAGGGCCAGTCGGTCGTGTGGCCGGAAACAAAGACGCGCCGGTGGGCTCAGACTCCAGGCCGTGTGGGTTGCAGAGCTCATTCTGGCTTCATGTTGAGCATCCTGTGCTCCCTGCTGTTTGACGACCGGCAAAGTGCTTTGGATTTTGATGGCCGGTCCCAGCGCGGCAGCCCCCGCGGGCTGCCCTGGGCTTCCGTGGCTGTGACGTCCCTGTCCTTTCCCTCTGCAGATTCCCGTGCTCCTGAACCTGAGCCAGGACCCGGAAATCAGCCTGCCCACGCCGCCGCTCATGTACGCGCTGGCCCTCGGCACCTGCCTCGGAGGTAAGAGTGCTGGGGGCGCGGCGCAGCGACGCCCAGGGGCGCCGAGGCCCGGGCCCTAAGGAGGGTCTGGGACCACCTTCTGCTGTGACTGAAGCGACTCTGAAGCTACTCAGTTCCTCGGTGCAGCCTGTCGCTTCCCACTCTGTATGGAGGGCTCAGGGGCACGGGGGTGAGAAGGGAGGACACTCAGCGCACGCTCCGGTGAGGGGCGGGGGCAGCTGGGTCTCAAAGGGGGAGGAGCCCCCGGGCTGGTTCTGATTTCCCCGGACCTTGTACAGTGAACATGGAGGGGTGACCAAGGAGAGAAATTAACGCAGACCATTTACATGGCTAATGACCTAAAATATAGCTGAACACGTGTTCACTGAGCCCTTCTGGGGAACAGGGACGCAGCTTTAACCAACAATGAAGGTGTCAAGATTCGGGATGCTGTAGCTCTACAGGTCGTTGAATGGTGCGTGTTCGCAGTCCCACAGACGCCCCGTTGTGCTGGGCGCTAACGTGCACTTCTTCTGTTGCGGGGGGGCCTCTCTCACTGACTCGGAATTTGACATTTAAAAAATTGTGGTAAAATGTACATGGCATAAAGTTTACGGTTTTGACCCATTTTCTTAATCCTCACTTGAGGATATTATTAGTATTATTGATTTGAGAGAGAGAAGAAGGGGGGAAGAGAGAGAGAAACATTGATTGGTTGCCTCCCATATGCTCTCCGAGCCGGGATGGAACTAGCAACGTTGGTCTGTGCCCTGACTGGGACTTGAACCTGCAACCTTTTGGTGTATGGGACAATGCTCCAACCAGCTGAGCCACCGGCTGCTGTGAGTTTAACCAATTTTAAGTGTACAGTTCAGCGGTGTTCAGTACATTCACAGTGTTGCGCAACCGTCACCGCCATCCATTTCCAGAACTTTCCATCATCCCAAACTGAAACTCTACTCATTACACCATAACTCCTTCTTCCCCCAGGGTTTGACATTGTGAAGGCCGTTTTAAATAAAAATTTTCGGTTGGTTGGAGAAATATCATTTGCTGTGTAAATTGTGTGTGATACACTAGATAGTTTGAAATGACAAAAAAATTTTTTCCTTGTCTGATGCCAGTACCTTTTGGCTGTTCTTTTTACTAAGAGCTAAGAACAATTCAAATAAATCTTGAGAAAACGCTGCCTTCCCTGGGCTTCCTAGAAAGCAGAGGTAGAGTCAAGTTTGCCTGCCGATGCTTTTTTGGGAGATGCGATTCTGGGGCCAGAAACAGAGGCAGGATGTGAGGTGAAACAGAGGAACGAAAACAAATACAGCAGTACCTCGGTAGTCGTCGGTAATTTGTTCTGGAACTCGTGAGGAGTACCAAGCAAGCGATGAGTGATGAAGCATTTTCTCTTCCGGGGCAGCGTCATGACGCCTCAGGTTCTAGCAAGTGCGACGAGTCCCAAGCAAGTGCCAAGTGCCGAAACATTTTTTCTCATCAAAATGTGACGAGTACAGGGTTTGACGAGTTCTGAAGCCCATGAGTACCGAGGTATGACTACATGTGGAGCCATCGGATGGGGCGTTTTCTAAGTGGGTTCCGTAGAAGCACTGTGCCTTGGAGGGGATGAGGGAGACAGGGAATTATCTGTCTTCTATTTGCTCCATCCTGTTTCCTGTCTCTCATTGGTCATGTTTGACACAGGGACTTCTTACTCCAGTTAGGAAGTGTAAGGTTTCAGGAATCTGTTGTTCTCAACACCACAGAGAAGAAACAAGATAAGCAACATGAACTACAAAGTCATAGTTTAAAAAACCAGCCCTGGCTGGTGTGGCTCCGTGGATGGAGTGCCGGTCTGAGAACCAAAGGGTCGCAGGTTCGATTCCCGGTCAGGGCACATGCCTGGGTTTTGGGCCAGGTCCCCAGTAGGGGGCATGCAAGAGGCAACCACACTTTGACATTTTTCTCCCTTTCTTTTTCCCTCCCTTACCCTCTCTAAAAATAAATAAGTAAAATCTTAAAAAAACCAACAAAAACAACAAACCACCAGAATTGTGAAGATGCACAGAGACGCACATGAAGTGAAGTGACAAGCTCCTGTGAGGGAACATGGGTTCTGTGCTTTCTGTCATGGGTGAGGCAGGACAGGCAAATGCAGCCCCTCAGTGCCTTTGCTGAGTGTGCAGTGAAGCCCAGGATGCTGCAGTAATGAGGGAAGAGCCTTGGACCTTCGTAGACTGCGCTGCAGTGCAGGGGAGGGGGGCAGAGAGCACCCTTTGAAGGACAGAAAGCCCCGCCCACACAGAGAATCTTCAGCCATCAGTGGGCTGTAAAAAGAGGAAGCTCTTATGGTTCAGAATACATGTGACTTGTCTATACAGCCCACAGACCCCGGCATTCCCCTTTGCTGATGTCTCTGCTTCAGAGAAACTTCTGGTCCCGCTCTCAAAACATTCGCAGCTAGAGATGAATTGCACCTTGCTGGAGATGCAGCGAAGCCAGGTCTAGCTCAGCCACAGATGAGGTTGGGTCCATGCCCTGAACTTGAGCCTCACACAGAGGGGATGCTCTCTCAGTGTGTGTGCCTGAGTATTAGCGCGGGTCTGTACAGTTCTTTACAAAAAATGTCCAGTATGCTATTACGTTAATAAAGAGCATCTACAAAAAAACCTACAGTGAACATCACACTTACTGGTTGAAGGACTGAATGTTTGCCCCCTAAGATCAGAAATGAGGCAAGGATGTCTGCTCTCACTGCTCTTATTCAACATAGTGCTAAAAGGTGTAGCCAGTGCAATAAGGCAAGAAAAGGAAATAAAAGGTATGCAGATTACAAAGGAGAAAATACACTGTTCCTACTGCAGATGACATGATTGTTTTTGTAGATTCCAAGCAATCTGTTAAAAAAGTAAAACTAACGGGAAACCATATAATTTATATGTGAGTTCATCAAGATCATGATTACAAGATAAATATACGACAATCAATTTTAGTGATGAACACCTAGCTACTACAATGAAATGTACAATACTACTTATAGTTACTCCACAAATTAAATACTGGAGCTGGAATTACAAAATGCTGATAAAGAAAATCAATGAAGATCCAAAACAAATGGCAAGACATACCGTGTTCATGGATTGATACACTTAACATAGTAAAAATGTCAGTTGTCCCCAAATTAAAATTCAGGTTTAATGCAATTCCTACAAAAATCTCAGCAAATCTTTTGTACATATGTACAAGAGTATTCTAAAACTTATGTGAAAAGGAGGATACATAAATGGCAATAAGTAAATGAGAAGATGTTCAACATCTTTAACCATCTGGGAATTGCACAATAAAACCACAGTAAGATATCATCACACCTATAACAATGGCTAAAAAAAAAAAGAAGTGACAACACTGAATGTTGATGATGGTGTGCAGAAACTGGGTCTTCAGAGTTGGGGTTGTAGTTGGCATCATGCTGGACGACAGTTTAATACTATCTTAAAAACTAAAGCTACACTCCTCAGCATTTATTCTAGAGAAAAGAATACTGCTATTCACCCCAAAACCTGTATACGATACTTCTGGAAGCTTTATTTAAAGTAGCCAAAGAGCACAACCAAACCTGATCTCCCTCAACAGTAAATGTTGAAACAAACTGTGGAACATTATACTAGGAAATGCTACTCAGCAGTCAAAGTCAATGAACTGTTGATACTATGTGACCAGCTTGCTGGATCTCCAGAGAATTATGTGAGGTGAATAAAGGCAAACCCAAAGGTCACACAGTGTATGATTCCATTTCTATAATATTCCTGGAATAACAAAGTTACAGAAATGTAGAAAAGGTTAATAATTACTGGGGGGTTAGTGCACGGTGGGGGTGGAAGGACATGGGGGAGGATGATGTTATGAATCTTTCCTGCCTCAAAGTCAATGTCGTGACCAGGATGTTGCACTATATCAGCACCGAGGGATGCTGGGTAAATGGTACACAGGCTTTGTTCATATGATTCCCTACAACTGTGTGTGAATGTCAGTTACCTCACAATGAAAGTGTAATTAAAGTAATAAAAAAGGAAAAACCAGAGGGAAACATGTTCCCACTGGGTACATTCATAATTACTAAACTAAGGCAGTGCCCATAGATGGATGGGCTTCCCGGAAAATAAAGCCAAGGACATATCCCAAAGTCTAGAGGCCAAAGTCAAAGAAAAAAATTCAGGAGAAAAATAATATACATAAAAGTCCAATACGGGAAACCCAATATTCAACTACTAGAAAAATCTCAGGACAGAACAAAATGAAAGAAAGGAGTTTATCAAAGAAACAATAGAAGCCAGTTTTCCAGAGTAGAAGCAGCGAATGGGTGGACATGCGTCTCCTGAGGTCCCATGAACTTTTGGAACTACAATGAGCCTTAGCAACTTGTCCCGTGTCATAGATCTACGAAACCCCAGGCCGGAGAATCGAACTCTAGCGGTGAGGTCCAGCCTCTGGGCTCTCTTTATGTGGAAAACGGGTGAATTAGAAGTAGGAGGTTTAGCAAAACAGGCTACAGACATTTCATTGTCCAAATTTGAGGCAAAGTAAAACGTGAAGGGATCTCAAGCAGGTGCTGGACTGGGAGAAACGAGATGTGATTGGACGTTGGCCCTGGTCTCGGCCCCGCACGGGGAGGGGGCGGGGCGTGGGCGTTGGCAGGGCTGGGGCCGAGTCCCGAGTGTACTGCGCATGCGCTGACTGGCCTTCCCCCGCTGGGTGAGCGCACAACGGGCCCTGGAGCCTCAGGCACTTGTAGGACCCATCGTGGTTGTTGGTGCCCTTGACCAGCAAGCTTTCATATTTATTTCCATATATCCACCTATTAACTGGATAAAAACAAACCAAAAAGAATGTAAATATCTATTGGTAGGACACAGAGACCAAATAAAGATCAAGATCGCGTGAGGCCGAAGCGGGCTTGGCGTCCTCGCCGGAGATACCTGGAGGGCAGGAGCCATCCCAGCGACACCTGACTGCAGTTACACGTCGGTTCCCTTTGGTCACATTCACAGCTTGTGGGGCAGGTGTCTCTCCCGCGTGCCAAGGGGACCACCAGTGTGTGGAATTAATTTTATGTTTTCTGTCCTGTGGAAAATCATCACTGGTCTGAAAGCGTGGCATTCGATTGGGGAGTCCCTGTAAGACTTAGAAAACGGCCATCGAACACAAGGCAGGGTGGAGTCTGGAAGGACGGTCTGTTGCGCCTGTAGACACGCATACATGTCACCTCTCCATGAAGGGTCACCCGGACACGCCGGACTGGCAGCGGCCACTCACGTGCATCCCATCCCCATTTGCTCCTCTGTCGACAGAAGGTGGAACAGTGGCTTGAGCCAGACTGGTGACACAGGATCACTTGGTCCCTGCCACAAGAAGCTGACCGATGGAACCCATGCATCTTTTTTTTTTTTTCAAATCCTCACCCGAGGACATTTTTTCTTTGCTTTTAGAGAGAGAGGAAGGGAGAGAGAGAAACGTCGACTGGTTGCCTCCCCTGCATGCCTGGACTGGGGATCGAACCTACAAGCTTTCGGTTATGGGACAAAGCTCCAACGAGCCGAGCCACACCGGCCAGGGCAAACCCTTGCATCTTTAATTAAGAAGATGCTACCTGTTAACATCATATTAAACCGCTGAAACCACTGTGGACATTCTGAATGGACTCTCGTGTTCTTTGTCCTCCTCGCACCCAGCAGGGAGGGTGGCAACTGTGGTCCCGTCACACAGTGGCGGCCGATGTCTTCTCCCTGCCGATGACAGTGCAGGGACAGGCAGATGAATGCCTGCCACTTGCAGTGACCGACATGGGGGTGGGCAGGTCAAAGCCATTTGGAGGGAGACACACGGCTGTCTCCTGAGGGCAGGGCCAAGGACGGGCAGGGGGCTGGCTGCGCTCTCGGACACCCTTCACTGTCACGTGGTGCCCAGATGCCAGAACCCAGTTCCAACTCTGAGCATGGCCGAGGGGACAGAGCACGCGGTGGAGACCACGGTTCTGGGCGGTACCGGGAGCCTGCAGCAGACAGCACTGCCGCCTGTCACAGCGGATAAGCCCGCCCTGCTGCTGACACTGTCTCATTCTGCGTCTTCTTGTCCTTGTAACCAAACACACCTCGCCCTGGCTGGGTGGCTGAGTGAATTGGAGCATCATCCTGTGCACCGAAAGGTCATGGGTTCAATTTCCAGTCAGAGGTTTGTACAGGAGGCAACCAATCCATGTTTCTGTCTCTCTCTCTCAAGTCAATAAACGTATCATCGGGTGAAGATTAAAAAGAGAAAACATAACATAACAGAAACGGTCAGGGACTGGCTCACTGCTCGGCAGGTTTGAGCCTTTGGTCGGTGTCTCCTGAATCTGCAGCCACCGTTCCTTCCTCTGCACCAGCTGACGCGCTCTATTTCCTGTACGTTTGGTGGCTGATCTGCGTGGCTTGGCCCATTGATCAATGACACGAGAAACCCGCTTGGGCCCCTCCTGACGTAGCTTTTGTCTCCCGTGTCTCCCGCCTTAGATGTGGCCACGAAGCCACCTGCGATAGCAGGGTCAGGCCTCTCGCCGGCCCTCAGTCCCCAGGGTTCTGGTTGGATGCGGTGACAATGGCCAAGCAGGGACCGGCAAGAGAGTGGGATCTCAGTGCGCAAGGTGGGAGGTCGGCCGCTGGTAGGGTGACGGGTGGGCACGTCCGTGTGACAGCGTGGTAAGAGGCTGCTTGGGGCCACCGGGGCCATGGACTCCTGCTTGGGGCTCCCTTCAACTGCCTGGCCTATGGCCCTGGCTCTCGTGGTCTCTGACTCCCTGGGATCCCTCCCACCCCACCTGCGCCCTGGGGTCTGTCCCCTCCCTTTGAGGTTCTCTTCTGCTTCTAGAAAGTCCTTTGCCTGGGAGGGTTCCTGTGATTCCTTTGGGTCCACCCAGGCAATCCAGGGCGCTCCCCTGTCCCAGGCTGTGTGTTACGTGACTGGTGACGCTGTGAAGGAGGGACGTCCTCAGCGTCCTGTCCTCGCGGCCCTGCGCAGCCCCTGGCTCCTTTCACAGCGCCCCCCACGTGAACAAGCCTGGCAGGCGGCGTTGCTCCGGGGTACGGGTCCCACACGCTGTCCTTGCTCTGCGCGGCAGCGGGCTCGGCACTGACCCCGCCCCGGGTCCTGTCCTCCAGCTGCGTGTTACCGGCGTCCAGCCTCTGACGGGCAGCCTCCTCCCGTGCTCCCGGCAGCTGCAGACTCGCGCTTCAGGGTCACACACTCAGCGGTCACGCACACATGTCAGGCCTGTGCTAAGCTGGCCAAGCCTGGGTCGCCTGTCCCTCCTCGGACCCTGGCCTCTGGGATGGGGCAGACGAAGACGCTGCGGACGCTCGTCACGCAAATCCTCCCCTTCGCTGCTCCTGCTGCTGCGACCGGCGCCGGCCTCGGGCCTCCCCGGAGCTGTGCGGAAGGCGGTGTGCGCATGTGTGTTTTCCGCCACAGATCACGTGTGCCGCTCGGGGGACACGTCACTCACCCGGCTGCAGGTGTCCCCCCTCCATCCACAGAGCGGGGGTTTCGTGTTAAACGTCTGGGCCTGGGGTCCGAGGGACGCGCTGCTCAGCTGAGACCCCCATCCACTGCTCCCCACACACTCGTCCCCTCCCGGGCTGTTGTCTCTACGTCATTTTCTCCTAGAAGGTCAAGGCCGCCACACCCCGCCGCCACCCGCTCACTCTCCTACGAGCGTCCTCTCTTCTGTCCCCTACAACAGCCATAGCCCTACGCATAAATGAACCGCAGCGTTTATAAGCAGTGCATTGATTCGGGGGTCCCCAGTGGTTTTTTTTTCCCTCCGATATTTGCAAAGCAGTCGCTCTGATCGCGCCTGAGAAATAGTCATCCAGTCAAAAGCCTGTGCGGTGATCCGAATTATCAGAGAACAAAAGGGGACAGAGGCCTCCCGCCACGGCAAACCAGGGCTTGATTCTGTTCTTAAATGTTGGTTTCAGGGAACGGGACTCTGATGGGAGCGTCGGCCAATGTCGTCTGTGCGGGGATCGCGGAGCAGCATGGCTATGGCTTCTCGTTCCTGGAGTTTTTCAGGTACTTTCAAAACTTTCTTTTTTTTTCACCTGAGGAGATACTTAATGATTTTAGAGATGGAGGAAGGGGGCGGGGAAGGGGGCGGGGAAACATTGATGTGAGAAACACGGATTGGTTGCCTCTTGTGACCCGCCCCCCGCAACCGGGGACTGAACCCGCAACCCAGCACAGACGGAACCACAGCCTCTTGGGGCACAGGATGACTCTCCAACCAGCTGAGCCTCTTGGCTGGGCTCAAGCCTTATTTTAAATTTGTTTCTATTTTAAAACTCTCTAAGCTTACTAAATTAAAAAAAAAAAAAAAAAAAAAAAAGCCCTGGCTAGTGTGGCTCAGTGGATTGAGCACCGGCCTGCGAACCGACGGGCCGCAGGTTCGATTCCCAGTCAGGGCACAGGCCTGGGTTGTGGGCCAGGTCCCCAGTAGGGGGCACGTGAGAGGCAACCACACATCAATGTTTCTCTCCCTCCCTTCTCCTCTCTAAAAATAAATAAATAAAATCTTTTTTAAAAAAAGAACAGTGTATCTCTTAAGTGCTAAGATAGGCATGTTTGCAGCAATTACAGAGTCTTCGGTGGAGCTGAGGTTAGCTCAGAGAAAAACACATTAAAAATTTATTGCTGGGATTAGCTCCGTAACAGAGGATGACTCAGGCATCTGATTAGCTCAGGGTGAGTCTGAAGGGTCGGGCGTGCTGGGTTATTTCATAGTGCTGTTTTCTGGAAAATTCCAACGGCGACTTGTGCTTTGATTGTCTGTGACAAGGGTGATTCATGAGAGTCTGGTGTCCCCCTCCTGGATGGCCCAGCGCAAAGGCCCGCACGGGGGACGGCCCGGGGTCTGTCTGGGCACCTATCTGTCCCCTAAAGATTTGTAGCAGCAGCTCCGGCTGAGGAGAACGGCATGCAGCCCCCGGGGGCGCTCTGCAGGGCTCTGCTGGCTGGTGCCGGGTTTGGGGACAGGACCCTGGCTGCCTTGGCGAGGACCGACTTCTGTCTCTGCCTGTCCCAGAACCCTGAGTTCTGCAGGCTTACCGTACCGGCCAAGTCTGATTGTGAGCGACGAGTGGTATTTTGCTGGGACATTGGTTTGAATGACACTCTCGGGAGACTTGGGTGTGGGAGGGGGCACCGAGCCAGGGAGCAAGCCGCGGGGACAGTGACCATGCCTCCCCCAGTGACTTGGGGCTCATTGTTGGTCTGATGTTGAGGGACAGGGTCCAGAGCTTAAGACTTGGCCAACGTCTTCCCGTTTGGACTCTGGGCCTCTGCTAGTATGGAAGCAACGACGCTGTCACTAAACAAGAATTCTCTCGGGAGCACAGTGTTCTTACAGCAAACGTCCCAGCAGCAGGGCGACCCACCTTGTTGCCATCGTCTTGTCCCTGTCCCCCGCTCAGCAAGGGTGTGGCTTCAGGGCACCGCCAAGAAGGGGGCTCAGACACCGGCGCCACTGGAGGTATCGACTTCGGCCTCCCCCGTTGGCCAGGTCTCCACTTTCAACCCAGCTGGGGGGCTGTCATCCCAGTGACTCTGGTGTTGTCTACGACACAGCGGTCCCCCGGCTGCTGGCAGCCACGGACTGGGCTCCAGACACAGGACCCTCGTGGCCCTCGAGCAGCAGTGGCTGGTCTCTGTGAATAAGCACCAGGACGTCTGCTTGGTGGGAAAGGCCGGTGTCCTGGACATGCGCAGAGTGAAGGGTGCGAGCCCAGCGGGTGGTGCGCAGGCGCCGTGAACTTCTCGGGCGGACCTGGCATTTCTGTGCCGCACGCGAGGCTGTGTGACCAGTGACGGTGTCAGAGCTGGGCCGGCTCGGTGACTTGGCGGCCTCACAAAGCTTGGGGCCACACCACTGGGGGGCTTCTTCAGCAGCTCCTCACGAGGCCTGAGGAATCACGTAGCCCTTCTTCTTCTTTAAGATTTTATTTATTTTTAGAGAGAGAGAAAGGGAGGGAAAAAGAGAGGGAGAGAAACTTCGATTGGTTGCTTCTCAATCGTGCCTCCAACTGGGGGCCTGGCCCAGAACCCGGCATGTGCCCTGACTGGGAATCGAACCAGCGACCCTTCGGTTTGCGGGACAACGCCCCACCCACTGAGCCACACCAGCCAGGTGAATCAATCACATAGCTCTTCTCCAATGGAGAGGAAGTACCTCCGTAATTCGTGGTCAAGCGCCATGTTTAATTTCTGCCTGGGTCCCTTTCTGCTTCCAGCTGTGGCCATTCTTCTCACTGGGTCCCTGTTGCTCAGAAATCAGAGCAGCACTCCCACCAAATGGCCACTGAACGGCTGCGGGGCCCTTATTGCACAGGCTCTTACTTAGTACATTATCATTATAATGTACTAAATTGTCTTTTACCGCCCATAAAAATGTCTTCCCGTAAAAGGTGGCTTCCAGTAATACGCAGTGCAAAATATTGACTTCCTACTTTCTTTTTAAAAATGACCACCATTTTTTCTGACTTTATAAGTATGTATGCAACGGAAAATATGTAAAAGATAAAATATAAACGTAACTCGCAACTTTTCTCCCCAGAAATGACCACGGACCATAATGTGGCCCGTTTCTTATATTTTCCCTCCCGATCAGATGATAGAAATATATTTGTTAACAGATATTTTGAAAAAGATTTTATTTAGTTAGTTTTTAGAGGGAAGGAGAAAGAGAGGGAGAGAAACATCGATGTGAGAGAGAAACTTCAATTGGTTGCCCCTCATATGCACCCCAGCTGGGGACTGAACCCATAACTCAGGCATGTGCCCTGACTGGGAATAGAACCTGCGACCCTTAAGTTTGCGGGACAACACCCAACTCACTGAGACACACCAGTCAGGGCTGTTAACAAAAATTTTTAATCACTCTGTAGCCTGCCTTTTATTTTTCCTAATATTTGTGAGCATTTTACCAGTCCGTTAGTTGTTTGTCCAAGGTAAAATATTTTTATAACTCTGACATGTGGAAATAGCGCTATTTTAGCTTTGTGGAGCATTTCGGTTGCTTCCTATTCACTGTTATCATAATCAGTGTTGTGCTGAATATCTGTACAGGTAAAACTTTGTTTCACTCTTTTTAAAATTTTTTAAATTTTTCAATTACAGTTGATACTCAGTATTTATTCTATATTCGTTTCAGATGTACAGCGAAGTGGTTAGAGAGTCATGTACTTTACTGAGTGGTTGTTCCACTGGACAACTGTAGGTAAATTTTCAGAATTTAATCTGAAAAACATAGTTTAACATAGAATTCCTGGCTGTAGGAATGATGTCATAAGAACCCCAATATGGCCCTGGCTGGTGCAGCTCAGTGGACTGAGTGCCGTCCTGCAAACTGAAGGGTCGATGGTTTGATTCCCAGTCAGGACCCATGCCTGGGCTGCAGGCCAAGTCCCCTGTAGGGGGCGCGCGAGAGACAACCAAGCAATGTATCTCTCTCACATCAATGTTTCTCTCTCTCTGTTTCTCCCTCTTTTCCCTTTTCTAAAACTAAATAAATAAAATATTAAAAAAAACCCCACCGATACAGATCAAGTATCCAGACACGTTCCTACCCTCGTGTCCCTGAACCTCACTGACACTTCTGACATTGTCTCCACCCGTGCCCCACCTGGGCACTAACAAGACTCGTGTTTTGCTCAGTTAATTCCACTGAGATTGAACCCTTTTCTATAAGTACTGGAGATTTGCATTTCTTATTTTGTACACTTTCTATTCATATCCCTTGTCTATGTCTTTCTATTGAGGGATCTGAACTTTTCCTATTTTGGGAAACTCTCTTTACATGTAAAGGAATCAGTTCTGATACATATGCTGCAACTATGTCTTTATTTTTGTAGTTTAAATTTGGCAAAGGCCTCTCAGATATTGTACAAAGCTATGAAACCTCACAAATGCCCCAGGTAAACTTCACCTTGATTCTTTTCTAGCTTTTTTTTTTTCTTCTGGTTTTCACTTAAAAATTTTAAATTAAACTTCTTTCAAGATAATTGGAGGTTCACATAAGATTAATAGATAAGATAGACCCAGATAGATCTCATGTATCCTTTCTCCAGATACTCCCAATAGTAATTCTAGAAAAATCTGTGGCACCCTATCACCACCAGGATATGGCATTGGCGACCCAGGCCCCCTGGGGTCCCTCCTGCCACCCATTTTTTGCCACACAACCCCCCTCGCACTCCGCTCCCCCGTCACCCCCTCGGCCACCAATCCTCGTGCATTTAAATTCCATCGGTACAAAAGTGTCGTGTAGACGGAATCGCACAATACGTGACCTTTGGGGATCGGCTTTCGGCGCTCACCAGCGTTGCCTACCCATCCATCAGGTCGTTTCCGGTGTGTTCCGCAGTCGGCGCCCCGTGCCCCACGGTCGCGGATGCGCCGTGTTCCTGCAGTGATTCCCCCACTAACGGATGTCGGTGCTGTTGTGATATTGTGAATAGAGTTGCTATGATATTCACGTACAGGTTTTGAATGTCGGTTTCAGTTCTCCTAGGGGTGAAATTACTGAGTCCTACGGTAGTGTGCAGTTTTTACATGTTTTAAATCCTTACCTACTGAGAGAGAGAGAGAGAGAGAGAGAGAGAGAGAGAGAGAGAGAGAGAGAGAGAGAAACCTCACAGTGAGAGAGAAACATGGATTGGTTGCCCCCTGTGTTTGCCCGGACCAGGGAGCAGACCCACAACCCACGCCCACGCCCTGACTGGGAATTGAACCCGCAACTTTTTGGTGCACGGAACGACACTCCAACCAGCTGAGCCACCTGGCCAGGGCTGTATAGTTAGTTTTTAAAGGGTTGTCAAATCAAATTCTTTTCCAGGGTGGCGGGACCATTTCACGCCCCCACAAGCAGTGTGTGAGAGATCCAACTTTTCCACCTCTTTCCAACCCGCAGGCTGGTCATGAGTTTTATTCAGCTGCATAGTGACGCCTCAATGTGAATTTCCCAAATGGCTAATGATGTTGAGCACCTTTTCTTATCCTGTCTGCCATCGTATGTCCTT